CAGTTAAGATAGTAACTGTTTAATGAAATAAAATAATTTAATTTTTTTATTAATAGAACTTTATATCTTAGGGTGGTAATTCTTCACATGTAAGAGTTATTAATCAAATATGTTTAAGTTGGATTATTAATAGTTATATATGTAAGAGTGTAATATTTTATTATATTGTTTTAATTATTTTATGTGTAAAATTAAATAGTTATCTTATTATATGATCTTATAACGTTAAATGAGTAGAGAATCGAGACAATTATCTAAGGGAAAATTAGTGTTCTATTAAGATTCAGTGATCTGATCGGCGTGTCGGTGAGCAAATTGATTTTATTGCATATTAGGCTCACTTCACTCAAAGACGTTGATTTTGACGGTTCGGTTTGCGGAAGTCTTGTGTTTAATTATTTATGTGTAGAAAAAAAAAATTATTTTAAAACGATAAAAACGTATTGAAAAAATTAATAATAATTTGTGTTTAATAATTTAATTTTAATATGGAATTAAATCATGTGATAACGGATAATGGCGGTGATCCTGTAAGTTAAACACTCCATTTGCGAAAAAAAAATGATAAAATTGTTTGAAAATTATTTAATGCTCTTTATTAAATAAAATATACACATATATGTTAATACATAAAAAGAAAGAATAATTAAGTTATACTTTAACCAGAGATATACATATATGTACTCGTGTGTATGTCTCTACCTTAACCATGTGAGATTTTATCGATATATAATTGATTGGCTTCTCTTTCACAACAGAAACATGTGATCTATTAATTATTTAATGCAATGGCATTGCATTTGTTTATTTATTTTTTGTTCTATTTTTAACAATTCTTTCAAGTTCATCAATTTCTAAATAAATTCGTGTTATTGTTTTCTAAAAAAGTTTTTAAAAAGTTTTGATTAATTTTATTAAACCCCTAAAAAATACGTTTGATCCTTTTAAAAAATTATTTGTTTAATTTTTTTTAAATAGTAATTTTTTATATTAATAAAAAAATTAAAAAAAATTAAAAAAATTTAATTTTAAAAATGAAATCAAAAATTAAAATATTAAATCAAAACTGCAAACAATAATTTTAATTTTAGTTTAAAGACCTAGCTGTCCAGTTCGTTATTCTAAGTTAACTTTACAATTAATTTTAATGTATGTTGATCCTTTTTTCGAATCAGCGCAACTTTTACTCTTTGATAGCTGGGGATACTACAGGGTCCCACCCATCTCATTGACTAACTTATATATTTAAAGTTAATGTTAATGTTGTTAAAATCTATTTTCACTTAAATAATTGCCTTTTTCTGTAATTTATTTTATTTTTTCAAAAATTTCTTAAATTTATCTGTAATAAAAGAAAGTTATCGATAATTCAAATTATCTGTGCAATCTATTAAAAATTATAACGCCCTTATTATCCTTATAAGAATCATTTTCATTAGGTTAAGAAATTTGTTATACTAACAAATGCGGAGTCTATTGGTTATATTAACCACTCATATTTAATAAAATAAAAAAATTTTTTTTAGTCAAATAATAATAACGATACTGAACACACTTTATGAAACATGAGCATCTTTTTATTTTGTTGTCTTCAGACTTATAGTATAAATTAGTACTTAAAATGTATAACACCCATAAAAACTTCAGCTTAAAAAGACTTGCACCCTAGGGTAGTTGAATACTTTGTCAATAGAATAGGACATACTATTTATCATCTATATGTTTATATTTATAAAATCACTAATAAAAGGTTCTATACTACTTTTTATTGACGCAACAGGGCTTAGAGATCTACTCTAAACCCAGTAGGGGGCACAATAGACCCGACGGTCGTCGTGCCACATCCCCTAACAATAATTATAATAATAATAGAGAAAATATTTTTTATTATTTAAAGTTAAAGAATTAACACTAAATCTTGAGTTGATCTATTTAAAGATTCTTAAATTCTCATAAAGTCTGTAGACTTGTATATAGGCGTCTTCAGCTTTTGTAGAGAAGTTTGTTTTTTAAATCATCACTACACATTGTGGGTCATTATTGACAAAGCGATTAACCTATAGTAACCACGTTATTAATAATTGATCATTTGCATTTTTTTTTAAATATAACGAGTTTATAAAAAAAGTGTAATAATTTTTTTTATATTAACATTGTTTAAAATGTTAATTATATGGTAATGTACAATGTGAATAATTTCACTAATAAATTAACAGTTAATAACTCTTAGCAGTTGAATAAATAGTTATTATTCAATTATAGTTCATGTGAATAGTTTTTTTTTTTCAAATTTAATATTTTGAAAAATTAATTGTTATTACCACCAATTAATCAATAAGTTTTTGATTTTTACCAGGCTTAGGACGTTTATTTGACACATAAAAATTATAAAATATTACACTTATTAAATTGTGTTAAAATTTTTTATTTCATTTTTTAAAAAAATATTTATAATACAGATATTTCATTTTCGTTCATATATTGAACACAAAAATTGTAACACAAATTATTAAGTGTATTTTTTTATAATTTTTATGTGTCAAATAAAGCCCTGTGAAAAGCAAAAAACTATATCTAATATATATCCATTCTATCATATATCTTAAAATATATATATAAATATTTATATGTTAATATAAATTATATTATATTTCTGTATACATTTTATTGATACATTTTGATTTAAAAAAATCTTTTTCAAAAGTGGTTTTTTCGAACAGTAGTGAACGACAACAACTAAAATTTTATTTTTTATATTATTTTAATTAATTAAATTTTTGGCTGACCATACAGCTGTTTCTTTTACTATTTTTTCAAAACCTTAAATTTTAATTTAATCGTTTTATTTTTTTTTTTAAACTAATGCTTCAAGTATTAGATGATGAATCTTTAAACCTTATTAAGTTTTAATTTAATAGTTTTATTAATTTTTTTTTTAAAACTTAAAAATTGAAATATCTTGAATCTACAAATCTTATTATTTAATCCTTTTTTTGCGATTTAAATGACTTCTATCTAAGAAAATCCTTCTTCTTCTCCTTATTTGGTACTACAGTCCAGTGTGAACCTTGGCCTACTTCACAACCTGCTTCCATTTGCTTCGATCTTGTGCCGTTGTTTTTCAATTCAGAACTCCAAGCTTTCTGACGTCCTCGTACACGTGCCACTATGCCTTGTTGTCATCGAATTAGCATTAGCATATTGGCCGGATTTCAAGAAAATTCTTAAATGTTGTTAAAACCTCTAAATGCTTTCAGAATCCTGAGTAAATTAACTTCGTATTTTGCAACGGAGTCAGGTCGGGCGATTCAATCAAAATTGATTATTAAAAATACATGTATATAAATACAAAAATTGTTAATAATATTTAATATTTTCTATTTTTTTGTGAGATTTAAGATAACTAAAAACAAATTGTAGAAAAATGTTCACTATTAAAAATAAATAATTTATAATTAAAAAAAAATATTACATTTGTCTAGTAAATAAAAAATTGGGTGAATATTTTTTTCACAAAATCATTACCTACAAGTTACTTCATTTAATAAATTATATAAGAATTTTATTAAAAATACAATTTTTTAAATTATTCTTCACATAATTAAATATGATGAAAATAAAATTATATCTTAAATTGCATTTAAAATGCAATTTTACACGACTGTTTTTTAAATAAAATACCGCCTCCTATCGTCAGATATGAAAAACAAAATACTGACTAATTTAATACAATATAATGTAAATTTTAATAATTTTAATGCACCTAATTTAATTCCTATTTAACTATAAATAATTTATGAAGTTGTTTTTTTTTTGTTAAAATTAATTTAAATTGTTGCATTTTTTACTACAGTAATTAATCACGATCGGCACTTCAATAATATATATCGTTGAAACAAAATAAAACACAAAATACGAGTAGTTATGGATTAGGGTCTCTTAGCAGTGAAAGTGAAGTGAAATATACATAAACGTGTATAATAGGGATATTCACGTTCAAGGTTAGCAAGTTCCACAATTGAATAATATGGTAACACTGTTATGTGCCAACAACAAAATAAATATAGGTGTATAGATAGGTGTTTAATGCTTTTCACTAAACCTTAAGGTGCCAGCTCCATTTTTCTTCTTCTATATATTTCTTCATTTCATCATTTCTTCATTGTTTTTCTATGTATTTCGGTTACCGAGGTTGATACGCGAGATCGTGTATAACATATTCCTATTATGTCCACTTATATATGTTACCAATTTTTTTTTTATTTTGGAGCTACGACACCCTAATCCATAATTACTCGTATTTTGTGATTATATGTATTTTAAGAAAATTTAGGGAAATATTATGAACTTATACCATGGGAAACTACTTAAGAGTTTCTCATAAAAAACTTAAAAAGTTTGTACTGTGTTGCACTGTGGAATAAATTTCTAAATTCACCTCTTTAAACCTCTTTAATATATATGATTGAATAATGGCTAAAGCAGATTCTAATAGAAGTAATAAAATTTGTCTAAATAATAGGATAGATAGAATTATTGAAGTTAAAGATGTCCTGTATTACCTAATAAAGTTAATAATAAATGTCTAGCAATTATATTAGCAGTCAATCGAACTACTAAAGTTCCTGGCCGAACCTCTTTAGGATTCCTGCGAAAAAAGGACATTATTATGAATTGTGAATAAACTCTAAATAAGAGAAGTGAAAGTGAAAGTCACTGACACTGAGTCAGAGCAACCAGCTTATCATAATGAATTTCTCTACAATCTAAACATTTTTCTAGATTTTTACTGTAATATTTAAAGAGCTAATGAAAAAAAATTGATAGAATTATTTTTAATTTAATTTAAACTCCGAATTAAAAATATATATAAGTTGTTACAGTACTTTTTGCTTACAAATGATGTTATAAATATCCTATAATCTCTATGTTTTCAGAGATACGGATAGGTTCCTCCATGCCACAGAGTAGTTTAGTTTTTCATTGATTTTGAAATATAACGGGTAGTAGGATAGATACTTTAAAAAAAGATTTTATTTCTTAAAGGGTTAATTGATTGAAAATTCAGCAAAATCTAAAGTACATAGTTGGGAAATCCATCTATAGAAGGAAATTTATAAAAAGTGCTGTAATACCTACTCTGTATGAGTATAATAAGTAGTCTGAAATAAACCTTTTTTTATACACGGTACTTCTTTATACGAATAGGAGATATTATTTAAATTTATAATTTTATTAAATAATTGTAAGTATAAAATATAAATAATACAACATTGCTCTAAGCTTGAACTACTAAATATTAATTTCGTTAAAACGGCAAAAAATTAATATGAACACACGTCCGGATACTTTAACGCAAAGGGATACGAAGGTATCAAAAATATATGGCAATTTTTAAGTTTTAATAAATCTTAACTTAGATTAATCACTGTTTCGTCAACTGGATATGCTTTTGCTAAACATTTTGAAGGTAGGAAAACACCGTAATACCTATATAATATATAAAACTCAGAATGATACTTCTGCGCATCTTATTTCCATTCGACTCTTCCCCGGATCCTGAAACATAGCACCTTAATTTGTTCACTTTAAGGTAAAAAATGTTCTTCGTGGCTGACATTAGTACCATTGTTCCTTTAATAATATCATTCAAATAAAATAAATCATAAAATAGTAGTGCATTAGAATCTTGTAATTTCAAAGTGATAAAATCCGTTTTTCGTTATTGGTCCAGATTGCATTTCCTTTCCTAGATTTTAGATTTTTATAATTGCAGAGATATACGAAGAACAATTCAAAATATAGACTTGAGGGAGTTTATTTTGTTGATGTCCTGTATTGGCTATTGAAAGATGTCAAATTTTAAAGAAGTATCAAGATTTTTATTAGTCTTATTATTATTTCAACAATCTGCAACCACATAATCCCCATCTTATACCTCTACGGTGTAGGTGCAACTGTTTTCTCCTTATTTGCATTAACTTTTTGTTATTGCTTTTTTACATATTTTTTTTTTCATGTTGTAATGGTTAAATTGTTATAACGAAACAGGCATCGATTGTTTTTTAGATGTTTGAATTGAAATTTAGGCATGTAAAAAATAATTGCCTTATAGCTAATTAGAATAAATAATATGCTAGAATAAATAATTTTTACGTGTACCTATATATATACAGCTTTCGACACAAATCCTTTAATATATAATAAAACCCTATTTAATTATAGTGACCCAAAGCATGTAAAATTTTAATTAAATTATATATTTATTAATTTATGTATATCTACAACTATGTATCATTAGAAAATTTAATAATAGAAGAATTCGTTAACCGCAAATTAATAAAATAATACATTCTTGGCATTAATTAATAAATTAACTACAATTAACAACAATTGAAATTATACCAAAAATAATTCATTAATTCATTGAGAGATTTCCGTCTACACCTTACAACCTGTACTTAGTTATCAATTACAAAATTAATTGCTACCTATTTCATACAAGAATAACTTCAGAAATAATTAATATTAATTTAATTATTCCTAAAAATGAACTACAATCTATAACTGTAATACAGATTGTTTTGATAAAAATTAATATATATGGTAAATATAAATCAATTTAATTATTTGAGAAAAAATTCATTTCATTTAAACAATAGTAAAATTTATTTAATATATTTTTCTATAATGTATTTTCTATATTTTATTTAAAAAATAATTATAATTTGCCACGTGTTTAGAATTAAAATTAAATATTAATTTAATATAAATATTATTACTTTTAGTTATAAATAATTATTTGTAATTTATTAGCAATAAAATAATTTGAACATTTTTGACAAAAAACTAAACTAGGCTTTGTTGTTAGTCGTCCTTTCCGTTCATATGGATTAGAAGAATAGCACGCTTAGTTTAGAGCCTATTTACGTTATAGGTGATATACTGACAGAATGTAATCAGGTGATATGCTGACAATTTTAAAATTATACGACTTGATGCAGAGGTCTTTGGTCCTAACATCAGAATTGCACTTAGAATGTGTATACATCGATAATAATGTATAGATTATGGCCACATGGCTCACTGTCTTCCAAGCGGAAGTTTAAGCGATAAAAGTCTGCACTCGAGTCAACTTTATGTAGTTAGACAAACAGCAATCAAAGCATTGAATTCTTAGAAATTTTCTTTGAGAATTTTGGGAGTTTAGTTTGATATGTTATAACGACTGGCAAGTTAACAAACATAATAGTATCAAGTCAGACATGATTCTATAGCAATGAGTAAGCAAGCAATCTCGTAAGAACTCAATTATTCAGTTTTGTGAACCGGAACCTTATTGTGGAATAAGTTGAACCAGAAATCTGTATTAATCGAAAGTGTTGCCGTCTTAATTAGACGGATCTGTCTGTGGAGACAGAATGTTAACGGTGTTTAGAAACAAATGAGATCTCTAATCACATTATCCGTGATTGTCCCATATTGAGATGATCTATGATAAAATTACAGGCCCGGTAGTTTTTATTCCCGTATAATATTAGGATATCCTCAACTGTTGGTATTTTGACCTTTTTTTGTAGGGCAAGAAGTCTTGCAATCAAAATCATTGATAATGTTAGTAAATCATTCCTTAATAGCTTTATAAATTACAATATAAAACAAACAAAAAATTATAATTAAAAAATGTTTTTTATCTTTATATCTAAGATTACCACACCTCATATTTAAAAATAGTTTAATTGAAACTATTAATTAAATTATAGCGCCAAGTATTTTTTTTTTTTATTTTTTAAAAGTAATACTTAAACTTTATATGTAAATAATTGTATATATAATCAGATTGCAAAAACTTTACATATTTGATTATTACATAAATATTACATAAATATTGTAACTTTTTCTAGAAAAGAACCTAGTAAAACCCTCTCTGTGGTTTTTTAAATATATACATAAATTATATATGTGCATTCATTATTTACAGCAATGACAAATTTTAATCACACGTATCTGTCTATTTGTAAGATTCAGTTACTAAACAAATACTATTTGCATAAATATATATAATTATGTACTAATTTATTAACTAGCCAAGTTTTTTATAACTTAATTTGTTAAGTGAATTTATAGCTAAGACTGATAAATATTCACTGACCAAGTGAATATTTAGTACTATACGAGTATATTATTTAAAAAAAAACGGAAGATATGATATGAAATATTGTTACTTATTAGGAATATAAATTGATTAATTAATATTAAAATTAATCATATTGTATTTATTGTATATGTCAGTAGATTTTTGTTACTAGATTACTTAAATATATAGTCTAATAGTCTAAATTACTTAAATATTTATTATAATTTAATTAATATTTGTCGCTAACCTTCTGGTCACATTGGACAAAAGCATTAATAGTCAGCTGAAACGAACTATTTCAACTAAAACGAAACTGACAGGCCATTGCGTACTAGGAAGAAACGCTATGAGACTTGGTCTTATCTATAATCACTTTTGTCATGGTTGTAGCTTTGAAGAGGAGAATGAATTCATGTTTCACCTTTCATTATTAATGTTCATTTTTTTCTACAACAAAAAGTTTAAAAATAGGTAGGGTTTCTTTTCTGACCGCTCTGTTAAGCTGTCATACTTTCAAATTATAGACTAATCAGTTTGGTTTACTTTCGCTTGAATGGACAAGTCGTGCTTTTCAGTGTTGTTTGTGAGATGATCACTGCGGTCCTTCTGGTCTACGTATATATAAAGCTAATCCATGATATTAAAGCAGGTCATTATTTTAGCTCAAGTATTCTTTGGTGTATAAGGCTACCACTCTAACCTATCCTAACCTAACATATTAACGAAGTGTAAATGTGGTAACTCTATAAACTGGTTACTGGAGAACTGAAGGAGAATTTTAACTAAAGAACTATTAACATCGCCCTATAATAGACTACCATATATAATATAATATAATAGACTATGCAAACACTGCTATATTAAACTCATACCATTGTTTACTTCGAACTCTTCAATTTTCTTAAAATTCAATAGAATTGTTGGTCCTATTTTTAATTAATTTATACTTTCAAAGTATTTCAATTAATTTTAATATATATTTATACTTTGAATAAATAGTTAAAATAAGGGTTCTAATGGTTTTTAATATTATTGGTTTGAACAGTGACTTCTTTATTATTTTACGTGGATATATATCAATTAGTGACATTCAATTTATTTCAAATATTATTGAACAATCGCATAAAAACTATTTTTATTTTATAATTAAATTTATTACTAACTGTAATGAGTTTAAATATTGAACTAAACTATTTCTGACTTTAAGTGAAATTTATTGATAATTAAAAACCACAAACAAAAATAAAAAAAGTTATTAAAGAAAGAATATTATTATTACATATATTTGTTTATATGATTTTGATATAATTTTAATAAATTCTATACTTAATAATTTTAATATTTAAGAACCAATTTCAGAAACAACCTGTGGAAACAGTAACCAGTCCACAACCCCACACAAAAGAAAGATCCAAACCGAACTTATTATACGCAATAAATGATAATCCACCATGGTATCTCAGCATATTTCTAGCACTACAGCACTATTTAACAATGATTGGAGCCATTGTTTCAATACCTTTCATATTAACACCAGCGCTGTGCATGTCCGATGAGGATCCAAATCGTGGTGTTATTATCTCCACAATGATATTCGTTACCGGTATAGTTACATATATACAAGCAACATGGGGTGTACGTCTGCCTATAGTGCAAGGTGGCACTATTTCATTTTTGGTGCCAACATTAGCTATACTGGCATTACCGCAATGGAAATGCCCACCAGATGATGAATTTAATGCAATGGATGAGGGTGAACGTAATGAACTTTGGCAAATACGTATGCGCGAATTATCGGGTGCTATAGCTGTATCAGCTATGGTGCAAGTTATATTGGGTTATACGGGTCTTGTTGGAAAAATTCTACGCTTTGTTACACCGTTAACAATTGTACCAACAGTTTCTTTAGTAGGATTAACATTATTCGAACATGCAGCTGAAACGGCGTCCAAGCATTGGGGAATTGCTGTGGGGTTAGTAAAATATATTTATTTTTCTTTATCTATTTTAATTATTTTTTTTTTACCATAAACTAAAGTACAACAGCTATGTTGACTTTATTTTCGCAAGTAATGGCAAATGTTACAGTACCGTTTCCGGTTTATAGAAAGGGACATGGTATTGAAATACGAAAATTCTTACTCTTCCGCCTATTTCCGGTAAGTGTAATAAAAAAATTTAATAAATTATTATCGATGCGATGTTTATAAACAATAGGTGTTGTTAACAATTGGTATTATGTGGGGACTTTGTGGCATTTTAACGCTTACAAATGTCTTTGAAGAGGGGCACCCCTCACGTACTGATGTTCGTTTAAAAGTATTAACGAACGCAAAATGGTTTTATGTACCTTATCCCGGTCAATTTGGTTTACCTTCAGTTACTCTATCTGGTGTTTTGGGTATGTTAGCTGGCGTTTTAGCATGTACAGTTGAATCTATCAGTTATTATCCAACCGTGTCACAAATGGCGGGTAAGCAAAAAAGTTTGTAAATAGTTTATTTGCACAATAAAATATCTAAGAAATATAAATAAACTACTTTGAATATTATTAAACAATAAAAGAAAATAAAAGTAATTTTATACCAGGTGCCCAATCACCACCATTGCATGCTATAAACCGTGGAATTGGTACAGAAGGTTTGGGTACTGTGTTAGCAGGTCTTTGGGGCGCTGGTAATGGTACTAATACTTTCGGCGAGAACGTTGGAGCAATAGGTGTAACTAAGGTATGTTTTATATATATTTATAATTATTTCTACGATATATCTATTCAATTCAAGTTCACTGAACAACAACTATGTATATTATAAATAAAGGTTGGCTCACGTCGTGTTATACAATGGGCTGCCCTCATTATGTTACTGCAAGGTGTTATAGGAAAGCTCGGTGCTATATTCATTATGATACCGGACTCTGTTGTGGGTGGCATATTTTGCGTTATGTTTGGTATGATTGTGGCTTTTGGATTGTCGACATTACAATATGTTGATTTGCGTTCAGCGCGTAATTTATACATTTTGGGTTTATCTATGTTTTTCCCCATGGTGTTGTGCAGGTGGATGCAACAGCATCCTGGTGCTATAAAAACTGGAAATGACACTTTGGATTCAACTTTATCTGTATTGTTAGGTACAACTATATTAGTTGGTGGCTTATTAGGTTGTTTTCTCGATAATATTATACCAGGTAACTGAGTTCTACTTTCAGTTGGGAACATTTTTTTTAAAGTAATATTTTGAATAGGTACTGCCGAAGAAAGGGGTCTTATTGAGTGGGCGAATGAAATGCCTTTGGGTGATGATAATATTAATGATGGTACTGCTACCGATTTTGATTTTCCAGCGGGTATGGAAACTCTGAGAAAGTAAGTATACATATTACTTTTCAAATGCTTATTTTTACAATCAATTTTCTCATTTTATTTTCAGTTGGAAATGGACTTACTATGTACCATTTCTACCTACATATAAGTTGCAGAAACAAAGTTAGCTTTAGAAATACTTTTCCTAAATGATGTAGAAACAATTTATTTTTTTTTATGCATATGTTATTAGTATTTTTAATAAAATTTAAGAAAGAAACTCTCACCAATATTCTCGATCGTCAAC